GAAAAAAAAAAAAAAAAAAAAAAAAAGTTCAAACTAAATGCTCTTTTTTTTTTTTTCCTTGTCTTTTTTTTTTGTGACTGGTAAGGGGATCACAACCCTTGGTGTGGTGTCACCCACACCACGCTCAGCCAGTGAGCGCACCGGCCAGTCCTATATAGGATCTGAACCCGCAGCGGGAACGTCGCTGCGCTCCCAGCGCCGCACTCTCCCGAGTGCGCCACGGGCCGGCCCTAAATGCTGTCTCTTCCATGAAGCCTTCCCTGATTCCCCAGCCAGATTTTCCCTTTTTTGAACTCTCTTTGTACTTTGATTGTGCCTCTTATGAGTCTGATAACATTCTGTCTTGAATGTTTGTTTATATACTTGTCTTATCTCTAAATTGTAAGCAAATGAGCTCTGAGGGAAGGCAAAGTATTTTTTTTTTTTTTGTCTTTTTCCGTGTCCGGCAACAGATCGCAACCCTCGGCGTTGCTCCCGCGCCTCGCTCAGCCAGTGAGCGGGAACCGGTCTGTATGTGGGATCCGAACCCTTGGGCGGGAGCGCCACCGCGCTTCCCAAGCGGCGCACTATCCAGTGCGCCACCGGCAACCCTCAGTGTTGCCCCCGCACCGGGCCGGGGACCGGCAACGGGATTGCAACCCTCAGCGTCGCCCCCATGCCTCGCTCAGCCAGTGAGCGGGAACCGGTCTGTATGTGGGATCCGAACCCTCGAGCAGGAGCGCCACCGCGCTTCCCAAGCGGCGCACTATCCAGTGCGCCACCGGGCCGGCCCTTAAGGCAAAGTATTTTAATCATCTTTTTGTCCTTTACAGTGCATTGTTCAAGCAGATTAGGTTGACACCCAATCAATATTTACTGAATGACTGTAGAAAGAGTATGACTCTGAAACAAAAAAAGGCAAACATTCTGAAGGAACAGTATAATTTTTTCAATAAGCTAGGGTAAGATTCACCTGTAATATACATAAAACAAGTGTTCAATCACTCCTGACTAATAAGCTTTTAGGTGGGAATACTGGCTCCTCAATCTCTAAATATTTCCTCTTTTTCCACTCATATTGAAAACTTTCTTGAACCAACCATCAGGTGGAAGACAATAGTTTGCAAGGAAACAAAGAGACCTATATGAGTTCTATTAATGCTGTACATTTAAGATGAGAAAAAGTATCATGATAATGACCATAATTATATGTGTTTTAGTTCCTATAAATTCTAAGTTGATTACTAATTGAACATGATTCTCAAATACTTACAGGAATAAATGAGAGCCGGAAAGAGAGTTTCATTTCTCTCTTGAGCTGTTTCAACCAGCATACGAAGAGGACCTTTTGGACACAAAACAGCCACTAAATCTAAAAGGAAAAAAATAGAAAAGACATCTTATAAAATGTATGGGCTAAACCTGTAAATGGGTGCATTAGGGAGGAATTAGCCAAGGGAAAAGGTTTAATGTTTTTTTTGTTTTGTTTTGTTTTTTTACACAAAAAGATGCTGAATGAATATGAAATAGATGGCAGGTAAACTGGTGGGGGAAAAAATAACCTAAACAAAACCATTTCATTTTGGGGTTGACTGTTATTTGCTTAGTCTACAGTGCTTCATCACTCGGTCTTCTCAGTTTGAAGGAAAAAAGCAGAGCTAATGCCAGGACAGAGCAGTTGTCAATTTACAACATGCAGAAATGGGGACAGGCACTTCCAAACAAATCATAATTATGAACTACAAATAGAAGCTTTATCCTGAGAGGAATTTAATGGAGGAGATTTGATTGAACTTTCCAAAATGTGAAAAGCAAAATAGAAGAGATTCGTCCCTTCTCCTTTTGAAAAACAGTATATGTACTACTGAAGGATATTTTAAATAAGACGGCAGTAAATTTAAACAAAGCTAATTAATAATTCTTTGCATGATAAAGTTTAGTATTTTTTTAGTCTCCACATAAAAGTGCTTCACAAATAGGTCTCAGAACACATATGATGCTGAAAAGTGACTTATTTTACAAAAACAGAAAGAGGAAGCAATAAGCCTAAATGTGTCCTGATACCACCGTCTCTTTCCGCCAACTGCAATTTTTCAGATATTTTACATGTCACAAAAATTCAGAATATAGAAATATAGAAAATAATTTCAAACATTAAAAAATATAAAACAGGTATACTTGTAAATCACTTTGTAAAGGAAGACTTGATAAGCTTGTGTTGGCATTACTGTCATTTAGATGCATTTAAGTAAAAAAAAATCTCATGCCTCCAAGTGATCCTATCTCTTTACATAATAATAATGATAAAAATAATACAAGATAATAAAACACACACACACAAAGATATCTCTACTCTCACCAATTCCACTTCGATTTGTTTCAACAAGAAAAAGGAAATTTGCCTTGCTCTGAAATAATGAGATTTTCAGCTTGTTTGAGGCTTCCTAATCCTGCAACTATTTTGGTTTTATGACATGCTTCTGCTTATAGAATCGGTAAATGACAAACTCACTTATTTTTTTTTTCCATTTTGTCTTTTTTCATGACCGGCAATGGATCGCAACGCTCAGTGTTGTGCCCGTACCGGACCGGGACCGGCAACGGGATCGCAACCCTCGGTGTTGCACCCGCACCTTGCTCAGCGAGTGAGCGGCCGGTCTGTACGTGGGATCCGAACCCTCAGCGGGAGCACCGTCGCACTCTCAAGCGGCGCACTGTAGCAGTGCGCCACCGGGCCGGCCCCAAACTCACTTATTTTTAAAGCAATTAAAGTATATTAAAATAATTTTGTTTTACAAATTTCAGAACAAACTTTGTGACAAAATATCTGAGACCTTTTAAGAACAAAGTTGAGAAATCACTACTCTATATATTGGATACAAAAATCTCTCATTTTAAAGGAACTGAAAGCTCTAAGAGATAATCATTTGTATAATGATAGGATTTGGAATTCCTTTATAGTCATTTCAAGGATTTCCTGCTCCACAGAGTCCGGTATTTGAGAATTACTATATTTTGTGGGTGGTCTCCTATTTTCTTGAGTTTTTGTATTTCCAGTATCTCCACATTGATGTCCCATCATCTGGTAGAATGGTCACTTCTTCTATTACTCTAGAGTGGGCTTTGAGGATAGAGACTTCCTCTTCTTTTTCCAGTGTCTGCTGGTGACTCTTCTTGTGTCAATGCAATCAAGTGTCTGGTGGGTCACCTTTGTGGCAGCCATGGCTGTGGTGGTGGCTGTGGTGGGCTACTCACATGGAAGTGGTACTTTCAGTGTCCTCCTTGCCTGCTTCCAGGTGGTGGGGATTGCCCTTGGTTCCTGCCTAGGACCCCAGTCACACTCCTTGCCCGCTTCCAGGCAGGGGGTGCTACCCTTGGCTCCTGCCTTGGACCCTGGGCATGCTCCTTGCCTGCTTCTGGGCAGCGGGGACTGCCCTCAGCTCCTGCCTAGGACTCTGGGCATGCTCCTTGACTGCTTTCACTGTACTATTTAATCTTCACAGTAACTGAGACTTAGGGGATGAATAACTTGCTGCAGTTACATAGCCAATAAGTGATGAGTAGAAGAGTTTAGATTTGAACTCAGGTATTCTGTGTCCAGAACTGACATTCTTTTTTTTTTTTTTTTGAACAATTATAACATTTTTATTGTAGTAAAAGATATGTAACACATAATAAACTATTTTAACCATTTTTAAGTATATAGTTCAATCACATTAAGTACATTCTTATTGTTGTGAAGCCATCACCACCATCCATTTCCAGAACTTTTTCATGTTCCCAGACTGTACCCAGTAAACGATAACTCAATAACCATCCCACTCCCCACCCCCAGAACTGGCATTATTAATCAAAGCTAAGCAATAATAGATGAGTACTTAAATCAAGTATTACATAACATAAAGTCATTATAAAAGTAAGGCATAGGAAGTGTTTGATTTCTTGTTCTTTTTTTTTCTTTTTGGGCTGGCCCGTGGCTCACTCGGTAGAGTACGGTGCTGATAACACCAAGGCCCCGGGTTCAGATCCCATATAGGGATGGCCGGTCTGCTCACTGGCTGAGCGTGGTGCTGACAACACCAAGTCAAGGGTTAAGATCCCCTTACCAGTCATCTTTTTAAAAAAAAAAAAAAAGAAAGTGTTTGATTTCTTGTTCTTTTTTTTCTTTTTAAAAGAGGTAAGGGGATCTTAACTCTTGACTTGGTGTTGTCAGCACTACGCTCTCCCAAGTGAGCTAACCGGCCATCCCTATATAGGATCCGAATCCATGGCCTTGGTGTTATCAGCACCACACTCTCCCAAGTGAGCCATGGGCTGGTCCTGAAAGTGTTTGATTTCTATAGTTCTATCACTGACTACTCAAATATGAGAATAGAATCAATTCAATTCTATTTCCACAGACTTTTTCTTTGTTGATCAAATGGAGATGACAGTTTCCTACTACAGGCCACCAGATACTTTATACCTCTTTTTTTTCAGAAGAAACCTGCTTTAAATTTTTTTCTTTATTCCTTGAACAGTGAAAAAAAAAAAGCATGGCCCTATAATACAGAAACCACATACTGACCTCTGGAAATGGATCTCTTTTTGGCTCTTGTGCAGGGCAACAGCCACAGGGCAATATGTAGCTATACAGCTGCCTTGGTTATTCATGGCTGGGGTACAGTCTTACTGTTCAGGACCCATGTCACACTAGTTGTTAGAGAAATTTGAATCTCACACTGCCCAAATAAGTTAAATTTTAAAAGAAAAATTTTGCCCGGGCCGGCCCGGTGGCGCACTCCTACAGTGCGCCGTTGGGAAGCGCGGCGGCGCTCCCTCCGAGGGTTCGGATCCCACATACAGACCGGCTGCTCACTGGCTGAGCGAGGTGCGGGGGCAACACCGAGGGTTGCAATCCCGTTGCCGGTCCCGGTCCGGTATGGGCGCGACACTGAGGGTTGCGATCCGTTGCCGGTCATGAAAAAAGACAAAAAGGAAAAAATAAATAAAAAATAAATAAATAAATAAAATAAAAATAAAAGAATAATTTTGCCCAAGTTGCCTTATCAAAAGTAACCTAATTTTGATTTTAAAAATGAATTGAGCAGTTAATGTGTATCTAGTACTCTGCTAGCACTTTTCAACGTATATTCAATTCACTGAACTCTTACAACCCCGAAAAGCATTGTTCTCAATTTTCAAATGAGGAAACTGAATCTCAGAGAGTCTGAGTCACTTTTCTAAGGTCATAAAAATTGTCAATGGTAGAGTTAAAACCTGAACCTAAGTCTTCTGACCAGAAAGTCCATAGCTCCTTCCACTAACACATTACTGAGTTAGACTGGGGGCAGTAATAAAATATTTTTTAATAATTTAACCTCAAAATATTTTAAAATCTTTTTATGAAAAAGATACTATAGCCAATTAATTGTTTATGAAAGTGCTACAGGATGTAACTATTACCATTTTCCCTAAGTCAGGATAATTAGAAGAGGAAGGAAAACACACCAGTGAGACATTCCTGTGATGAACAAAATGTCAGTCTTGGGTTTTACCATATACTGAAATCACAGCCAAGATGAGCCATGCAGTCCATTCAGGAAGATACTTGATAAACACCAGGGCCATGAGGGCACTGATCATAATGAGATATGCCTGCTGGAGTCGAAGTGGACCTTTCCAGTGAATAGAAATCATTCCCACCACACCAAAATTCCAGATCAGGAGTGCAACAGTAATGTAGTCCACGGCAACATTATAGGTTTTAAACACTTCCCTGAAATTAAACAGATTTTTAAAAATTTATGTATGATAATTCTCATCAAAACATTGTTTAGAATATTGGTTCCCGAACATTAGAAATTTGTTCCTACCTTCATATTTTTACCATATCCTGTATCAACTGTGCTATTATTATTTAACACTTTTCTTTAAATTAACTCGATTTTTTCCTCAAGTTGAGCTTATCTTAAGAGGAAGCTCTATATCATTCATATATATAAATGAGAAACCAGTATCACAGGCCATAACTAAAACATGCACCAATAAATTTTATAGCTAGGACATAAATTTTCATACAATGAAATTCAGTGCAGCCATTAAAAAATACTATACATAGGGCCGGCCCGTGGCTCACTTGGGAGAGTGCGGTGCTGATAACACCAAGGCCCCGGGTTCGGATCCCATATAGGGATGGCCGGTTCGCTCACTTGCTGAGCGTGGTGCTGACAACACCAAGTTAAGGGTTAAGATCCCCTTACCGGTCATATTTATAAAAAAAAATATATATATATATATACATATTTTATACACACACAAACATGGAATAAGCATAACACATTGTTGCTTGAAAAAAGAGAGGGCAAGAGATAGACATATTAACCCCTGAAAGGATGACCGGTGGTGGGAATTTGGTCATTTTTCACTCCTTTTCTTTATAATCTTATATAATGTCTATTTAAAAAAAAAAGTTTAGCATTTTTATAATGAAGAAAAATATATTAAAATATTTTTTAATTTTAATCGTGGGAGAAAAAAAATTCACCATGTAAAGAGAAAGAGATTGTAACTACAGAAGATGTCCTAGGTAACTGAGGAGAAAGCAAGCACTTGTTTATTTAGGCACAAACTTTGGGTTATGGGGACTATCCAGGAAGATGGCTCTGCCTCTACTTTGAAATTCCAAAGTAAAATAAATGTTGATATTTCTGGACAATGTAGCTATTTGTATCAAGCATTTCAAATATCCTAAGACTTAAAAAAAAAACACTATTATTAATCTTTTTTTTTAAAGATGACCAGTAAGGGGATCTTAACCCTTGACTTGGTGTTGTCAGCACTACGCTCTCCCACGTGAGCTAACCGGCCATCCCTATATAGGGATCCGAACCCGTGGCCTTGGTGTTATTAGCACCGCACTCTCCCAAGTGAGCCACGGGATGGCCCAGAAGTATTTTTTAATGGAAATAAATTTATCAATCTTTTACATGTTTGGGTTTTGAATCATACTTAAAAGGTCCTTCCTTATTGCTACTGTGTTTTGGTTAGTTCTGAAACCAACTAAACAATCATTTTATCTCCAAATACTGATAACTTCTTTCCCAAATTATATAGCTCTCATTTCTTTCTCTTGTTAATTGTGTTCAGTAGTCCTTCCAGAGCAATGTTAGACTAGAGGGTGATAAAGGAAACACTCATCTTGTTTCTGACCTTAACAGGCAAGCTTCTGGAGTTTCCATATGATGATAATATTGATCTTTAGAATGAGATTCATACACTTTACCACACTAGAGAAGTAATGATCTATTTATTTTATTAAGGAATCTGATCAAAATAATCTTGAAAAGGCTTAGAATTAACTGTAGTCTTGAGTTCTTTCAGTTCTACTTATTATAAGCAAGGAACAACAAAAGAATATCCCTGCTGAGAATACCGACTTATAATTTATATACCAAGTATGACCTACATATACAAACAATTATAACAGGAGTAATTCATCAACAAGGTACATGGCTTTAAGTGACAGTTATGGAGCACAAATATAATTTCTGAAAGAGACCAACAATTTCACCACTTACCCCAAGTAAATGAATGAAAAAAAGAATAGCAACAATAAAGATGATATAATAAGCCAGCCATGGATGACCTAGAAAAGAAAGCATTTCAGTATAATTAACAGATCTCACAACTCTTAAAAAGTACAAATTTCTTATTTGAAAATTCTGTCTCTAAGTGTTATGCTTTTCAAATAGCAGAACAAATGGCTTTCGGATCAGTGCTTACTTATATAGAACCATTTGGTGCTCAATTATTCATAATAAAATAGAAACTTCAGCAAAACATATACAGACCTTTAGAAATAGGTGAAATTTTTAAAGAGAATGTATTCTAAAACAACAAATTACCAACAGAATCAACAGATAACATTTAAACTTTAAATTAGCAATATTTTCAATGGAGGAATTTAAGTATTTCTGAAATAAATAATAAAAATAATTTAAAGTTAGATATTCAGTTAAATGATCTGTGTATACAACAACTATACAGGGAAAATAAGCCTTGTAAGTTATATAACCATTTGACACAAGAATATTCAGAATCTGAAGTTTCAGTAAGTACTACAATGCTTTCTGTGTTTATTTTACATGGCTCATTAATAAGTATTAATATTACAAATTCTAAGTCAGTCCATCATATCATGCAGAATTCATACATCACTATAAAGTGTTAGTCGCTATTATTCATGTACAACTTATTAATATGAGGGATAGACCAGATTTTGATTTTTACAATTATACAAGATAAACATTTTAAATGGAAATTTTTTTTTTCCTTTTTGTCTTTTTTTCGTGTCCAGCAACGGATCGCAACCCTCAGTGTCGTGTCCGTACTGGACCGGGACCGGCAACGGGATCGCAACCCTCGGTGTTGCTCCCACACCTCGCTCAGCCAGTGAGCAGGAACCAGTCTGTATGTGGGATCCGAACCCTCGGCGGGAGCGCCACTGTGCTCCCAAGCGGCGCACTGTAGCAGTGCGCCACCGGGCCAGCCCTTAAATGAAAATTTTATGCAATGAATATATTTAGGAAAATATTATACAACCCAAGAAGTCTGGGGCTTTGAAAGACATAATGGAGAAGTATGATAAATGGTCAAGTAACTTCTAACCAAAAGTGGAATTATTTTTAGGTGGATATACCCATTATTTGCTTTACTCTTTCAATGGATTTTATGGTTTAATGACAGAAGGAACTACATAACCAATAACTTTTCCAAACATCTCTCTTAACCAGAACAAACCAAGTCAAATCTTGAAGTAGAGGAAAGAAAACCTTCAAATCAAGAATATTATTTTGTCTTCATTTTTAAAAAATTTCCCATACCCACTCCCTAGATCTAGTTGTTTCAGTCAGACTCTGAGCTACCAAAATATAGTTGTGACAAGAATCTATATTAATTTTCTCCCTGGCTCTGTTTTGACCACCCAAGGTCTTTAAGATCAGTGATTTTTAATTCCTTCGAAAAAAAGAATATCTAAAAATTCTCACTACATCTTTCTTTAAAACAACTTTATGTAATGATACGATCAGGAAAAGGCCAATAGAATGACTTTAACTTGGAAGTTGGTGTTCCTTAGATATATGAATATTCTAAATTAAGTTGAATATCTAAATACAACAAAACTATTTCTAGTGTTCTTCCACAAAAATCTTCCTCTATTTTATTATGAAAAATTTCAAACACACAGCAAAATTTAAAGAATTTTACAGTGAACACCCATAAACCACCTAGATTCTACTATTTGCATTTTGCAGTACTTGCTTTATAAAATTTCTTTTTTTTTTTTTCCTTTTTGTCTTTTTTCGTGACCGGCAACGGATCGCAACCCTCAGTGTTGCGCCCGGACCGGACCGGGGCCGGCAACGGGATCGCAACCCTCGGTGTTGCTCCTGCACCTCGCTCAGCCAGTGAGCGGCCGGTCTGTATATAAAATTTCTATCCATCTCCATCCATCAGTCTTATTTTTAATACATATCAAAGTAAACTGAAGACACCTGTACATTTCCCTCCAAATACTTCAACTTTAGCAAAATTTTCTAAAGGGAGCCCTCGCTCTATTTCATCTATCTGTAAAAGACCCCCACATAATTCATAAGCAGAAAGGCATCTCCTCACCTCCATCCAAATTCCATCATCTTAAGCTCAGACTTTAGAAATAATCCAAATTACAAGACTAAAAGGATACAAAATATTACGAGACAGAAAAGCTTTAAAGAAAGGGAGATGTACATTGGTATTCCAGCTCTAAGTTAAGTCCCAGAGTAAATATTAAATAATAGAAATTCTCATCTTCCTTGAGAGATGTTTTATACCTTTTTTTTGGCAAGGGTCTGTAGGGATACCTTTTGTTTATTTCTAAAAGGAGCATTTTTCTAAATGTAAAAGCTATAAGTATAAAATTTAAAACACTAAAAGAAGAAAACTATTTCCAATGGCCAATAACAACCAAAGCTGATATTAACATTTTACTTTCAGGGCCGGCCCGGTGGCGCACTGGATAGTGCGCCGCTTGGGAAGCGCGGCGGCGCTCCCGTCCGAGGGTTCGGATCCCACATACAGACCGGCTCCCGCTCACTGGCTGAGCGAGGCGCGGGAGCAACGCCGAGGCTTGCGATCCCGTTGCCGGTCCCCGGTCCGGTACGGGGGCAACACTGAGGGTTGCAATTCATTGCCGGACACGGAAAAAGACAAAAGACAAAAAAAAAAAAAAAACCATTTTACTTTCAGACAAGTTTTCTGTCTGCATGCATAGGCATATGTAAAGACCTTTTAATGAAATGAGAATTAAGTAGTATGCAGTTTATATCCTTCTTTTAAAAACTTAATCTTTTATTAGGGCCGGCCTGTGGCTCACTTGGGAGAGTGTGGTGCTGATAACACCAAGGCCATGGGTTCGGATCCCTAAATAGGGATGGCCGGTTAGCTCACTTGGGAAACTGTGGTGCTGACAACACCAAGTCAAGTCAAGGGTTAAGATCCCCTCACTTGTCATCTTTTAAAGAAAAAAAGCAAAACTTAATCTTTTATTACAGACATATTCTCATGCCAAATTTTTTTAAATATGATTTTTAAGTGACTAAATAATAATATTCTACTTATATGGATGAACCCACAATTTAACCTTTCCCTTATGCATGAAATCTGCAGTATTTTCCTTTTCTTTCTCTCAATTATAATTCATGCTAAGATGAACATCCTAGTACACAAATATTTTTCTGCATTTCTAATTATTTCTTTTTTTTTTTTTTTTTCTTTTTTTCGTGACCGGCAACGGATCGCAACCCTCAGTGTCGCGCCTGTACCAGACCGGGACCGGCAACGGGATCGCAACCCTCGGTGTTGCACCCGCACCTCGCTCAGCCAGTGAGCGGCCGGTCTGTATGTGGGATCCGAACCCTCAGCGGGAGCGCCGCCGCGCTCCCAGGTGGCGCACTGTAGCAGTGCGCCACTGGGCCGGCCCCTCTAATTATTTCTTTGGGATAAATCATAAATGCAAAATCAATGAATCAAACTTTTTCTAATTACTTATTATTAACACACAATAGCTTAGTTACATGACAAAAAAGGCTAGGTCAATCTTTACCAAATCGATATGCCAAATGCATTAACATGTTATTTTAATATGCGTTTCTTTTTTTACTAGTGAGGAAATAACACAGATTTACCTATTTATTGGTCATCTATATTTCTTCTGTAATTTCTCTGTTCTTTTTTGACTTTTAAGGGTATTTGTAAGTGTTCTTTATATTGTAAAAATATTAGTTATTTGCCTGTAGTAATGGGTATAAACAGTTTTCCTATTTAGGTTGGTAATTTATGTTATGATTTTCTGAATTATTATCTGAATTCAAAGACTTATCTGATGACTAAATAGCACCCCTCTTTTTCTAGAATATCAGGTGGTAAAACAGACCTTTCTCATCTTGCAAAAATCCCTAGTTCAGCTTTACTGTGTTAAAGGCTCTGAAAGAAAAGAGCCCTGTTTCATTACACAATAGTGAATATTTCCTCTAAACCAGGAAATTTTCAGGCCAGAAATCATGTGACTTTATTAATTTACATTTCCATCAATAACAAACCATGTGTAGTAATTAACTGCCTTTTCTGTTTCTACCTTTTAAAGGTTTGGTCTTTTAGCTTCTTGCGCTTCTCATAGACATTGCACAACCAACCACTGACATGAGAAATCCTCAGGGTTTATTTCCAAACAGGTCCTGGCAAGTTTCTGAATTTGACTCAAAAGCTCCTTTTACTTTATACTGGAAGTCAAAATAAACAACTTGTTTCTATAGAATTGGCTGAGCTTGCTAAACTTGAACATTAAAAAACAAAACAACACGAACAAGTAAGTGTGGAAATCTGGCTGAATACAAACCTTTTAGATTGCCTAAAAGATGACTAAGAGATACACAAAACTGACCAAAAATATATTAAGCTAGGCTCTAGGTAAGATGGAATAAGCACATTTGGCCCCGTCTCTCCCACTGAGAATACAAATCCTGAACTCCAAACAGGATAAACAAAGAAATTCACACACATTCACACAATTAAACTGTTGAAAACTAACAAAATCTTGAGAGTGACCAGGAAAAAATGACGCATTACTTATAGGGAACAAAGATTCAATTGACTGTGATTTTCATCAGAAGCCATGGAGGGTAGATGGAAGAACACCATCTTAAAAATGCTGAAAGAAAAGAACCATCAAGACAGAATTCTAAGACCAGTAATAACATTTTTCAGTAACAAAGTTGAAATTAAAACATTCTAAGATAAAGGAAAACTGAAAGAAATTGAGGCTAGCAGATTTGCTGTATAAGAATCACTAAAGGAAATTGTTGAGACAGAGGGCAAATAATACTATAAGGAAACTTAGAGCATTAAGAATGAAGAGCAACAAAAATAGTAAATATCTGGGTAAATATGATGGATTATTCTTTTCTTATTGTATTCTTTAAAATATGCTTGATGGTTGAAAGCAATAACATTGATGGGCTTTTCAATGTATATGGATTTAATATATAAGACAACTGTAACATAAAGGGATGTATACAGTGATAAGGTTTTTACATTTCACTTGCATTA